GGATGGTGAAAGAATTAGGTTTTTCCTCGTCCTCCTCCCCCTGCCAAACCTCCCAAGCCTGGAGAAGATTTGGGGTGAGGCGGACCCCGGAGGGGGGTGCTGCAGCCACGGGGTGTTGTGGAGCAATGCAGAGGGAGCCCTGTGCTCTCCCAGCCCCACACGCAGGCAGGTGCTGCTCCCCAAGCCCCTCCCGTTGCCACTCTCGGACATGGCAGAGCAACTTTTTAGGGTGCCACGCTGCAGCTGCTTTTTGTACAAAGCTGTTTTCCCCAGTAAAACTCTCTTTTCCTGTTGGTTTGACCTCGGTGGTGGTGGGAGCCATGGGACCAAGCGATGCTGGGAGAGGTGAGCTGGGTGCCCCTGCTCCGGCACCCATCCCTGCAGGGCCCCATCCTCCCCCTCCACGTCCTCGCAGGGCCGGCAGCGGGGACCAGCCCCTCGTAGTGGGGCTGGCGGCAGAAATGGAAGGTGTTTTATTTACAGTAGCGCTGCGATAAGGAAACTTGATTTCCTACGGCTCTGTCCCAAGGTTGACCTGGCGCAGAAGAAAACGCGAAGATTTGATTGAAGCTTTTCCAAGGGCGAGACCGCAGGTCCGGCATCTCCTGCCGCCCCTGCGGGGATGCTGGTGAGAACTAACGGGGCAAAACTGGGCACTGGGTTCAAAGGTGCTATGGACGTGCAGGCAAACGCGCGGGGAATGAATCACATCAGCTCTCTTCCTTTGGAGAAAAAAACGCTTAAAAGGGTCAATCCCCTTCTTCAAGGGCAGATGCGATTTGTCTTGCCATGCTTCCTCCTTCACTCCACACCTCCCTGCTCCTCCCAGACCTGTCCTTCGGCTGGCAGGGACCTGGCAATGTATCTGAGCCGAAAAATTGTCGGTGTACCCTCCACAGGAGGTGTCCGGAGATCCCACGTTTACCAGGCAGATCCTCAGACTGAAAGCACTTTGGCGTCTCCCCAGCCCCATCCCTGCCTGCTGCCTGCCGGCTCCTGCCGGGCCCCAGAGGAAGAAGGGACGGGGACTGAGCCAGGACCTGGGCACTGCAGCCCTTTTTGGCCGTGGGAATGGCTGACGTGGGGCCACGGGCGCGAGGGAGGGCAGGAAAACAC